TTCATTATTGTACGGCAAATGAAACGAAAGAATTGAAAATCCGTACGATGCCAGTTTATGCAATGTTAGCAAATKCAGAACTTTTAAATTCAAYTCAATGTAGAAAGGAACTGATTGAATTTCGAGAAGCCATTGATCAGCAGATATTATGGGGTTTAAAAGGTACGTGAAAGATACGAGACAATATCTATTATAAGAAATATTAAATATCATTGTGGAAAATAATTCTTCATTTTACTCTAAACGATATTTTTGGAATGATTATTTTATAGGGCAAAGATTTAAATAAGTAAGTTCGAAAGTCAAGGAAAAAACAATACTAAAAAAATTAAAAATATCTTTTTCTATAAATAATTTTTTACAGGGAAAGGATCGTCTTCCAATGATTCCTACTTTGTATAGCTTTTATTTAACATTCCAATTATTTAAAAATAAATTTTCTTTTTTCTAATTTTCAAATTGTAGATTGATAGTTCATTTTCAGTCTTCTGGAAAGTTTAAATTTTGAGTCGCAAACATTGTACATATTCTAGCATCGAATGTAACAATATAAAACAGGAAAATAAAAAATTTTTTAAAGTTTACTATAATATATTGTTGGCAAATGCTCATATAAGTTGCTTACAAATGCAAATTTTTCTACATAATGCGAAATAGAAAGCATAACAAATTATAATTATTTTAGGCGACTCTATTTATTTAAAAAAATCAGTTTAAAATCAACTTATTTGCGACTACCAAAATGGTTTTAACTTTCTGAGTCGCATATAATAATTAATTTCGATGGACAAAAGGATAAATTTAGTATTTTATTTTCTTTATCAAGTAATCGATGCCAGTGGCGAGCCAAAATCAGGATTCATTTATGGAAATAATTATTGGCTGGGTAGTAGAAGCCAATGCGAAGAAGCAGGAAACAAAAATCCCTTCCAACTAACGGAAGAGGTATTACAAAACAATTCGAGATTTCGTCCCATCCAGGATGAATTTCCACCGTTCGAAGTGAAATTCTTCGTTGCTAATTTTCAACATAATAGCACTTTGCAATACAACCTTTTAATACCCGAAGAAGTAAGTTTTTATTTAAAATTAAACCTGTGATTTTAATAAGTTAGTCAAATCTTTTGATTTTTTTCTTAGCAAGCATTGATAATACTCGGTTTGTGTTTACCAGCATCCTGTTCGAAGGATCAACTTTATATTCTTCTTGAAAACGTTTTGAGAAAAAGAATTCTTTTTAAAGGCGAATTATATTCAGCTGATTTTACGTTGTTAGAAGTAAGAGATCTAATAGATGACCATCGATGGTTATTAAGTGGAACATTCATTACAATGACGTAAAACAACAATTCGTTTATAATCTACGATAGTTCTTCGTTCAATATACAATATTATTATATTTTCTTGTTGTTGTCTGCTGTTAGGGTAATAGTCGTACTCACATTCCTATTAATGATAATAGGAACGGCCTACGATATCCTGATATACCAAAAACGATTGAAGAAAAATGACAATTATCTTGAAGACCGTAAAAATGTTAATTCTCTAGTAATAGGTAAGTTTATTTAATAATTTATAACCCTTTTGGGTGTTACAACATACTTTTGCGCAAATATCATTCCATACAAAATCCTTTGTACGTATCCTATCGTAGTATGAGGTAATACTTTTATATGTTCCAATAATTTTTACGAGAACTTTGCATGAGTCAGATATGTATTTGGGTGACTGATAACAAAAGGATTATTATAGTTACTATCTATGGATAAACAAATTATTATTTATTATCGTAAAGTTTATTTTTTTAGATGAACTTCAAAAGCTAAACGATAATAATAAGGATCAAATGGAAAAATTAAAATACTATAGTTTTTTTGGTAAAATATTCATAGCTTTTTCCGCATATTCGAACACGAAAATAATATTTAGTATTAAATCTGAAGATGCTGGTATTCCGGTTATACACGGATTAAGATTTYTTTCGATGATATGGATTATTATGCTGCATACAGTATACTTTTCAATGGATTTTATAGGTAAAGTATAGATAATTCAAATTAAAATTAATTTATTCTCTAATAAGATATTTTTTTGTTAATTTTATTTATGTTTGTTTATTCATTGTTTTTTTGTTTTCCTATATTTAATTGAAGACAATAAGCCATTGGTTATAAGAAAATTGGACGGTTTTATTTTTCACGTAATATACAATGGGACTCTGGCAGTAGATACATTCTTTTGTTTTGGTGGTTTTCTTGTCTCCTACTTGTATTTAAAAAAAGTTATTGGCAAGAATATACGTAAACCGCATAACTATTTAAATGTAATAAAATTATATTTTCTCGCACTTCTAAAAAGGTTTATTAGGTAAGACCATTTTTTTAAATGCTACATATCTATTATAATTAATTTAATTTATGCATAAATTTTTTTAATGTACGAATGATAAAAACACTATTTTGTTATAATACAAATAATATTATTAATAATAGCAGTGAACCGTAAATGGTGGCTCGTTAATATGATTCCTTTTTATAAAGACCGTTATTCGTGTAGATAGTAACACATAAGGCCTAATAAGCGATTACGAAATAATAATTAAAAAACAAGAATTATATGTATTTGTTACGGGTAATTTGTTGATTATTAGGGTATATTATAGAATACCTACTGTAAACGGGCAATGTATTTAAAGGAGTATGTATTTCACAAATTTACCAGTCATTGTACAGACTGTCATGATAGTTTTAATATAATAAATTTTCTTTTCTTACTTTAAGAATTATTAAAGTACAGTTGTGGGGGTTGAAATCTCAAGTAATTTCAAGTTAAACAATTCATGGAAATTATAAACAGTGTACACAAATTCCTAAACAAGTTTTTGATCAATCTATTAGGTTGGTGCATATAAAATGTCGGATTTTATTTACATGTGAACGTTTTTCCCCTGTTTTCGTTATTTTTTCGTTTCTGGTATAATTTTGTTTATGGTCGTAATGTCCATTGCCAGAGTCACATTTCAACAAAGCAAATTTTCTCAAAAGTGTTCAATTTTTTAATTTTTTTTTAATTTTGTGAGGATATGAATTCAACTGATATTCGTGTAATTTTTATATATGAGTATAAATTTGGTAATAATGCTACAACATTTGCACGTAATATAAACCAGGCGTTTGGGGAGAATACTGTTAACGATCGAAAAGTGCATCGTTAGTTTAAAAAACTTTGGTTTCCTGAATTTTCCCTTTAAAAGAAGACTCAAGACGTCTGAAAAAAATGATACTCTGAAAATATTGGTGGAAATGAATCCAACTTTATCTACAAGGGAACTTGCTTCTAGAATGAAAATTGACCATGCAACAATATTACGACATCTTTCTGAAATTGGCAAGATGAACAAAATGGTTAAATGGATACAGCACTAATTAACCAAGCAAAATAAGCTTGCTTAATTAAACGTATTTTCTTCACTATTAACCCGATTTTTCAAAATAAATTAAAATATGATATTTTGCCGCACTTATCTTATTCACCAGATCTTTCGCTAACTAACTTTTATTTTCTTAAACATTTAAAACAATTTTTACGTGCTTAACAGTCTAAAAATGAAGACATTCTGAAAAAGTCCATATCAGTGTTCATTGATTCTAAAAATCAGAATTTTTTTAAGACAGGCATCTGTGTATTATAATCTCGTTGGGAAAAGTGTATTTAAGCAAATAGAGTTTATTTTGATTAAATAAACCGATTTTGAAAAAAGATACGAAGTTTTATATATTTACTTAAAAATCCGATATTTCTTACGCACAAACCTAATACAAAAAGTGCGTCAGTGACCCTTGTATAAAGCAGGGAGGGCGAGTTGGGAAGTAATTTCAAGTTTAGAGAAAAAAATACGACATATAGGGAAAGAACAAAGAAAGTTCAAGAAATAAACGATTTAAGGTTGTTTAACCCTTGTAAGTGTGCTTTTATCGAGTATTGATTCTTAAATTACAACGATTATGCATATTTTGAGAAAATTCGATCTTTATCTATATTTGATAGAAGCTCATTTGACAAACTAAGCCACATTTTTCAGATTCACTACAATTTTTTGGAGATTTTGAAGAATGTTCACATTATATACATCGCCCGTAACATATCCAATATAAATCATAATAATAAATATCTTTTTTTTAATTTTCCTAGACTGTTTTAAATTTTATTTACTTGAATATCAGAATATACAAAAGCTTTATAGATTTTTACATAAATTTGTTTAAAATTAGAAATATAATTATTGAGAATATCTTACTTATTTTTTGCTACTTCTGCTATTTTAGATTATCACCTACTTTTATGATATTAATCGGATTACTACAGTTAAATGTAACGTGGTACAGTAAAACATCGCTCTTCTATATAACGGAACGTTCACACGAAACTTGTCCGAAATATTGGTGGAGAAATATCCTTTATATTCATAATCTTTTTAGTCCACAAGATATGGTATGGGCCTATGTTAATAGCAATTTTAAAAATTCTCCTATGAGTTAGTTAATAATAGATACATTATTACTTATCAATATCAATCTTTGCAGTGTATGAGTTGGAGTTGGTAYTTGGCGAACGATATGCAATACTATGTCATAGTAAATTTGCTGTTATTTTTATCTTCAAGGTAAGGCCACTCACATTTTATTAAACATTTTTTTATATAAAAAGTTCTTTCTAATTGTAAATAATTTTAATTGATCGAACATAATTTTATTTCAGATACTTTAAAGTAGCAGCTTGTTTGTTGGGCTTATTGTTTATCTCATCAATAATTCATTCTGGCTATATATCTTACATTTATAATTATCTTCCTATGTAAATATCAATATTAATTTTTATACATATTTCTGGTAATGTATATTAAGAGAACATTTTATAGAAAGTTTACTTTAAACAGGAATTGTGTTTAATGAGCAAGTATTTCACAGATTATTGTGTTATTTAACTGAATGCAAAGATGATTTCTTCAAAGATGAGGAAATCTGAAGCTGTTGTAATTAAACAAACCGTGAAAACTTGAAATTTCTATCTTTCTGCTTTCAGTAATATATCGACAGTCTTATGCAATTAATTGTATTAAACTCATTTTTCACTAGCTACTTACGGACTTACTAGCGATTCACGAAAGTATTTGAAAACTAGCCATGAAATACTTTATTAATTATAAGTACAGTTTACGACACTTACTAACATATTATGAACATTGGACGTATGTATGATTCTGTAGATTATATAGGTAAAGTTTCAAGACAATCGAAATATACATATGATTAATTATGATTTTGTTCATACAAACGAAAAGATTGCTAAAAAAAAGTGTTATAGAATATACTTATTATAATTAATAAAATTTTTCATGGCAGTTGTTCAAATACTTTCGTGAGTCACTGTATACTGGGTCTTTCAATTAACTATACCACCTTAAATATATATTTTTTTTCTACGATAGAGAAAAATGGCTGATATCAAAAAATTTTCTACTCGTAGAAACCGAAATAGCGAAAGGCCGAATTTATTTTCAAGGTCATTTTTATCGATATTTTCAGGTCATCGTATTTTTCCTAAATGAAACTGCATACTTTTAGTAAAACAGTCTTATAGCTATTAAAAAACCSAATCCAACGAGGTGCAGTTTGTTTAACTTTATGTTACTTTTAACAAAAATTTTTGGAAAATGTTTTTAGTCACTTCAGAACCCGCTCGGGGGACGGTAAATGAATTTAAGGTGGTCTAGTCAAATGAAAGACTCTATATATAGGCTGTTTTCTATTTGAAGATAAATATATACGAGCGAATTTGTATAAAAAGATACTCGCGTCAAAGTATGCTTTAATGAAATGGTTATTGAATCAATAAATTACCGATTTTTTGCATTACAGCTTTGACAGACAATGGAGTCTTGGAAAAGAGATTTATTTTTCACCATGGGTTAGGATAGGACCTTACCTTGTGGGTGTGATCGCTGCGTATATTGTTTTGAAATTAAACCACAAATTATTATGGAAAAAAGTAAACGAATATTCTAATCGTTTATCACTTAAACATACTACATGATCGAATAATTTTCTTGATGATTTTGATGTTTACTCCAATGTTAATTTAACTGATTTTAGAAAACAATAATACTTTTTTGGATACTCGGCAGTTTGTGCAATCTAATAGTACTCATTGGATTATATCAGACAAGAATATCAGTTTTGGCTGCTGCTTTTTACGTTGCACTCGGTAGAAATGTATGGGCAATTGGTATAGCATGGGTAATAATAGCATGTTGTACAAATAATGGAGGTATAAATAAATATCTCATACGATTGTGTTTAACTTGACAGTATTACTTTCTTATCGTTTTTAATTAGATCATTTTGTATTTTAGGTATAGTGAATCGTATTCTTTCGTGGAAGATTTGGATACCATTAAGTAGGTTGACTTACGCAGCCTTTCTGTTAAATCCTTTTCTCTTAAGTTCTGTGAACTTTTTTAATGAAAGTTCCATTCACTTTGATGTTTTAACGAGCGTATGTATTATTATTTCTTGTTTTATTATACAGATTGGTTAAGTAAGTTTTAATTAATTATCGTGTGTGTATTGTTCTGCTTTATTTCCCAGTTAATTTCAGGTCTAGGATACATAGTAATTATTTACACGTGTTCTTACGTGATATCGTTGATGTTCGAACTGCCATACATTTTCTTGACGAAGGAAGTGATGGATTACTTGAATAGAAAAATATGATTTTATTTTTTCGCTTTTATGATATTAGTTTTCCATTATAACTAACGATCACGATGAAAAAAAAGACCATAGAATTATTTCTCTTCGATGTTAGTATAAGTTTATTGAAAAATATGAGTAATTTGAAAAATCTGTAACATTATTAAAATGTTCTATTCAATACGCAAGTGTTCGTTTTAATCTTTTCTATGAAAAAGTGATTATGTAGGTAATTAAATCGAAATTTAGTAAAAAAAAATAAATAGCACGTACAACTCCGTGCAAGATTTTTTACGTGAAAATTCTTTATCACAGATGACTATTTATATTCGACAGATATATAATTATTTTGCAAAAAATATTGTAGGATTTTTAGTGGGAAAAACAATTTTATTCTAATCTTTATTACAGAATGCAGAACCTCTCTCTTACATCGCTCAACACTCACTGCCCTTTGTCGCTCGTGCATTCATTCGTCGCATTCACATAGTCCTTTATTTCGTCCGTTGTATTAGGTTACTTAAAATCGAACAAGTGCCTATCGCCTTATGCTAACAAACCTGCGTCTTTATCGACAGCCCTAAAAGATAAGACGGCGACGCGTACCGTCTCCTACAATATTTTTATTTAGAAAATTCGTTAGGATAAGTGTCGTAATAGGCAACAAACAGAACAGATTGAATAGAAAAATTATTAGGTCTACAATCTTTCTTTCGTAGTTTTCCTATAGAGTATTTTAGCGGTTAGTTAGTGGTCAAAATAAATATATCATATACCTCATACAATAAGCTTGGGCATCTGTTCACATAATCCCATTGAAACATTGTTCGATTTATGTTTCAACTAAAAGTTGTTCTTGATTGAAAATGTCATAAAAAATAGCATAAAATAGCATGAAAAAAATGTCGATAAATCATCTTATATATCTGTAAACTAATTGTGAAATGGAATTAATTTATCTTTAACTCAATTAGTATAAAAATGAATAATACTACATGTAAAATGTAGTTGCCAGTTACCTTAGACAGTTAACCACAAAATCAACAATATAAAATAACCTGTTGACCTGTAAGAAAATTAATCCTAATTCTTTAATTAATCCTTAATTAAATTAAGACTTAGTGATTAAAACCAAAACATCAAAGAGAACTATTTGTTTCATTTGTTTATTTATGAAATCCCATGTACTTAAATCTGAACTTATGAACACCACCGCCGCCCTCATGGAGAATTATCGTACTCGGTATTTAGTCATTTTCAACAACACAATTTCGACGAAAACGCGTATCTGGATTGTCCTCATTGTATATACCTTCGTTTTTGGATCTAAAAACGTGTTATTGTAGTCAGAAGAGAGAAGAAGATAACTGCCATAGGAAAACAATAAACTTTAATGTCGTTTCGTTTATTACAGGTAGGCATAAAATTTTAAAGATAGAAAATAAATCAAATCGTTTATTACAGAAACCCAGAATCGTTTATTAATCTGCGTCAACCCTTTGTATAAATCCCTCGACATTATATGTATAACCAGTTATTTACAATAAAGCCTCAAATTTAGGAAAAACAAAAACGGCGGAAACGTAGTTGAACACCTAATATACAATAATTGAATTTATTTCATGTATTCGTACACTTTATTCTGATATTATTATTTATTATTTTTTATTTATTTATACTCCGTCCCTTTCGGGTTTGGAGGGTTTCCGATACAATTTTCCTTTTTACAAAAATTCAGAAATTCAAAAATTCAAACAAACAACTATTATATATATACTATCTCAATACATTTAAATTTTAAAACAAAACTGAAACTAAAACAAAATTTTTCTTTATTCTGATATTTGCGTAGATAAAGTTGAGACGATTACTTTATTATAGCTAAAATAAGATAATTACGTTCTCGTATCGATTTTGGAACAAAATCATGACGAATGATTCGATGATCAAAAATGATGTTGAGTATTTTTCACCTTTAATGTATTGTCGTGTATCTGCATGTCTTATCAGATTTGTATCAATTATGCAATGCTGCTGTGACTGGAATAGATAGTGTTTGGAAGGAATTATTTATAGGTTATATACTGTTTTCGGGAGAAGTTTTAAACCTAACGCAAAGATATGATCCTAATTCGTTTTAGAAAAATATGTTTAGGTATTTTCATGCTGAAAAGATATCAATTAAATTTATTCGTCAAAACAGTCGAACGAATGGATATGTTACGAGACTTGTTTTTCTGACAACAATGATCTCTATAAATGACTCAAGAAAAAAAATCAGATTATATTCATTATTCAAATCATAAAATATTTACGTTCACGTTTTTTTCTAACGCTCTCAATAGGTCGTGTAACGATCCGTTACAAAAATAAGAACGTTCGATTTGTATGAATTGAAATGTATTCTTTTTTTGCGTGTTTTTTATCTCTATTCCACATCTACTCGTGAAAGTTTTGTTTATTTATGTTTTTATTTACTTTTGTCAGAATTCGTGTCCACTATAACGGTAATTTAACATAATTAACGTATTTTAAAATAACTATGTACAATATGTATGTGCACTCTTTTAATTAACACATTAATAAAATATTTTTAAATATTACTGTGTACAGGATGGCAAAAATTTTAAGAAATTGTAGTAATTATTAAGATGAGTGCAAATTGTCTAATTACTCTGGATTATAAAAGTATTTCCTTCGATGAAAATAAACTTTTATTATTTATATCAGATGAGTCTAAAAGTTCGTGCGCATTTTTGCGAAATTTTTCAACAGTGTAATGCATACGAATTTTTGGACTGAACTAATAAATTTTCGATATCGTAAGCAAGGCTCTAAGCAACATAACCTAAATCTAGGTAGAGAAAATTGTTTGGAAATACATTCGTTAGAGGTTATCAAGTTGTTATAAATGTAGGAATGAGAAATGATCGAATGCCGAGTGAGCGAACAATGAAAGAATAGAGTCTCGTGTGTCAGCTTATCGCACCGAGACTTCTGGGACATTCCCGAACCGGAGGATAGAAGCAGATCGGCCAGTCGGGAATGTTATGGAAGATGCGAAAAAGGAAGTAGGTGCATGGTGGGGACTAATGTATAAATTGGGGGGCAATCGGTTGTTAATGGCAGTCGTCATGGTGATAAAGAAAGTCATTACAAATAGTCGTAACAAAGAGTTGTTACAAAGAGTTGATATAGGTATTTGATAGAGAGTGAGTGTGTCGGTATAACGGTTATCAGTTGTACAATCAGTTGTTAGATGGAGTGTATCACATTACTTAAGAACTTTTGTGAAGCATAGTTATAAGACTAATCCTATCTATCCTATATTAAATATATTATTTTAAGTAGAAGTGACTTTGGTGTAAGTTAATTAATACCTCTGCACCAAAACCAAATCCTACATAAATATCCTCAATTTATGTTACTTTACATAAATTTGCATTAATTATTTTGATGAGATTTAATAATCTTGAAAGTGATACATATTAAAAACGGAATAATCACCTTGGAATAAAGTATGTTAATTATTTGTCGACCGTCTAGTGATGATGCAATAAAAAGATTAATGATTGTGTTTACTAAAGCTGATCTGCCTCGCAAACTTCTTAAAATACTTTTTTCTTGTAAAAGATATTGTATTTTTATTAATAAGGGAATATATAATGAATTTTTTCAAAGAATCATTGTAAGTAATTTGTGTTTACGCGTGATAAAAAACCTCTCGTGTCTACGGACGTAATAAACTGAGTTCTGATTATTGATATTATTTACACTGCGAAATAAAAAGACAAATACGATAGCAAGAAATTAATATCTTTCAAATTAGTCAGGTAAATGTAGATAAGTCTTTTGCATTTTCTTAACAAGGATATGCTAACTTCAAATTTGTTTTTCCCGCCATGACAAATAGTTACTTTTTATAAAATTAAAACAAAACTTCCTTTCTCGAATAATTAACAAACATTTATTGTACAATGGGCCAGTAGGTTGGTTAGCCTGTCGTAAGGATGTCTAGATTTCTGTTGGTTATGTATGAATCTAGTGTTTTACCGCATGGTGAAGTTATTTTTGATCCCCAATTTGGATGCTTGCCGTTGAAATTGCCAACTGCTATAAATTTATTACCTAATGCCTTGAAAAAGTTGTTCCATTGATTGGTTAAAATTTGGAATCTTGGTGGTGCATAAATAGCCGAGAGTTTAAGGGGTTACATGGGTTTACACCGGGAGAAAATAGCATATTTTCAACAATTTTTTTTTCTATATAAAAAATGGAATTCTTATTCAAACTTTTTATAGTATTTAAGATACATATTTAAAGAACATTTTCTTAATTTTTGGTTGAAAAATATTTTAAACTCAGCCATTGCGACGTCATTTCCGGTGACCCCACCGAAAAAAAGTGTTTTCGCGTTGACAGCAGAATTTATAAACGGTGGGGGTTTTTCTGTTGAAAAAAATAGGGTCTTTTAGTGAATACTTAAAACTAGAAACTGGACGAAGAAAAAAGAAAAAAATTGATATTTGGATTTTGGCAACGTTTTTAGCAAGAACATTCAAATTTCGCTACAATTGTCACCACATTTTGGTTTCTTAAAATTCGATTTTATGAAAAAAATGAAAATCCTTCGTCCAAGTCCTTGTCAATAGTATCACGAAGACGTGTAGCAAATTTCATCAAAATCGGTTAAATAGTTTTCGAGAAATCTTGACAACCGATTTTAGAAAAAGCGTTTTGAGAAAAATGCGTTTAAAGATTTGAGTGCTGGTATAAGAGCCATTAAAGAGTGGAACTTCTCAGGGCTCTATCTTTAAAACTACTACTCCTATCGACTTCAAAATTGAATACAATATTCTAGGTGAGTTGTAGAATTGAAAAAAAATAAAAAAACAAAATTTTGAAAGTCCCAAACCCATGTAACCCCTTAAGTAAATTACCCTGAGTTTCTAAGGTAATTGTGGTGGCTTGAAGGTAATCGTGGGCTGTTTTACTGTGTAGATGATGTTTGATCTCGTTCTTAATAATTATGGAAGTTTTACCAGTAAAGTGTTTTGTGTTGTACATAGTGTAGTATAGAATATTTATATAGTTTCTAATTTGTGAGATAAGTTTCGGAAAAGAACAGAATGTATATGTCGTGCGTGTATATAATTGGTTTTTGTAATCCGTTGCTGTTCCAGACCGATATTTTTAATTGTGTATCCATAATTTGCTGTTAAGTAACGTATTTTTTTATTTATCTTGCGTTTTTTTTATTTTTGTAATTTATTTGACTTAGCGGGAATCCAATTATGCGAATCTTTCAAATCTGTATGCATTTCGTTTTCTATAAACGAGTTTCTATTATCAATTTTGATTATTCTCTTTTGTGTATAAGCAAGATTAGAAGATTGTTTTGGTTCCCTAGATTGTTAACTTGTTTCGGTATTTTGAATAATGAATCTGTTGCCGTTATTAACGATTTTAAGAGGTGAGATATTGTTAGTTTCCATGGTCAAAGCTTTTTGCCATAGGTTTGAACACGCGGTTACTCGCAAGAGTGCACAGTGTTACCTCACTAGGACACTGGTCACTTCACTCTTGTATCTGTGATGTAAACCTAACGTACGTTACACTGTATCTCAACGTATTTCTTATTTAAATATTTATATTCTCGGGAGTGGTAGATAAATACTTCCGTATTTACTAACAATTACCGGGAAAGTCGGATAAAGGTATAACTCTTTATCTATTGGGTTGGCAAAAAAGTAATTTCGATTTTTTAGCGTAAAATAAAACTCCAATTTTCTATACAAAAAATGAACTTTAATCAGTCAAATAACTTCTATTCTGTTCGATGACTTTTTGCCATCTTTCTGGTAACTTTATGATTCCACCGGTCACAGAATTTCTGGTCCTTAATAGCAAAAAACTAAACTAACAATAAGAGTGATTTGAGGTCATCGTTATTATTGAAATTTTTACTATTTGAGAAGTTTTGTAAACTTTGGAATAAATGATAATCCGATGGTACAAGGTCGGGGCTGTATGGGGGATGCGACATCACTTCCCAACCAAGCTCCAATAGTTTCGTACGTGTTGCTAAAGATGTGCGAGGCCTCGTATTGTCGTATTGTTAAAAAATAAAAGTTAACTGTAATTCAAGTAAAAAAAAAGTAAAAAAAAGATATTAAAAAACCTATTATTTCTAATTTTTTTGTAATAAATAATTTTCTCTTTCCGGTATATATATAAAAATTAAAAAATATGAAAAATCAATTTGAAAACAGATAGAAAAAAATTATTAAAAAAAACTTTCCCCATGATGGATCGAACACTAACTAGCAGCACGACAAGCGAGAACGCTACTACATACGCTAGCGCTCCATTTGATAAATAGTCGCACTTAAAATAATATAAATATGTATACAAATAAATCAAAACTTTAAAAGCTTTTTTCTCAAAATTGGCTTTGCATTTTGATAAAATACTTTACCACGTTAACACCCTAAACGTATACTACTAATAACCAAGGCTCGTTAAATTCCGTGAGGGCACAACCGTAAGGTCTCCTTGTCAGTGAGAAATCTTCAGAACGAAATTTTTTAAACAAATTCTGACAAGTGCGACCTGTTAAATAATCAACACCATAAACTTCGCATATCTCTTTGTGAGCCTCCGCCGCTTTCTTGCCTTTATGAAAATAAAAAAGTTTAATGTGTCGAAAATGCTTATTTTTGCACTCCATATTAAATCGTAAACTGACAGTTGTAAACGAAATTATACGAAATTGGTTTTTATAGCGACTTAAAGAACTAAATCTTAAAAGAAAAAAATTCTAACATTGACAAAAGAATAACGAGACAAACATAAAGCTAACTACTGGTGCAAACCGAAATTACTTTCTTGCCAATCCAATAAGTCGACCAGAACTGTATTCAATTTTTACAATACCTTGAAATTTCGATTTTTTAATTATATAATGTATCGTGTGTGTGTGTAGATCTATTTATATTTAATAAATTATTTATTTTATCGTATATCTTTCCCTCTCTTTGCGCAACATGACAATTAATATTCTCTTACATTTAGAAATTGAAGATATTTTCGGACACATGATCAATATCGTAATACTTACAATATCATGAATACTAGATTGTGACTAAAAAATGTACATAAGACGACAACTAATGACAATCAATGTTTAAAATTAGTTCAAGGAAAACTTCGTTTTCATTTATTCTTGATTTTATCTCTATCTGTTCAAATACTTCGGTGAGTTATTGTAAATGATCTGTTGACACGATGTGACTCGTGTAAGTGATTTATTGACGTTATCTGAAAACACGTTAGTGATAATAATTAAAAATGTGGAAAAAAAAGCATAAGAAAGCAACATTAGAAGAGTTAAAAATTATTATAAATTTATTTAAGGAGAATAATTTTTTATTCAAAAACAGTTGAAATATTAATATTAAAAGTCTACTGACATTAAGGATTTTTTACAAGAAAAAAATACATTCCCATTAACGTTTCTGCTAAAAGAAGTTTTACTTCATGAAATATTCATCAAATGAAGAAACTATGAGACCTTGATATTAAAAGTAGATAAAGATAGTAAAAAACTAAGTAAATAACAGCTTAGCATAATTACATATGGTAATTGATCTTCTGATGAAACAACTTATACTCGCGATCGATAATGATAATAATAATGGTTATTGTGGAGATGGCAGAGATTCAAGGAGGGATGGATTATAAAGAAAACATCCTCTGACATGCAATCAAACAGTTGTTGTCTTTCGTTCGTTTGGGTTGTGTGATAAATTTTCAACGAGTGCACTTAGTTCTTTCACGTTCGTCGTGTATTATTAATCGAGTATAGTTTCAAGTACTTTAGGTCATAGTTTTAAGTAATATCATTTGTTTATCTTCATATATATATATATATATTTTTCATTTTTAAATATTAATATATAATTAAATCTTATGTTGTCGAAAACAATTCTGTGAACTTCTCACAACTGCGAAGAAAAAAAAGGATCGCGTTAATTCGATTTATTTTTTTTCGAGAAATTCATCGTTTGACGACTTAATTTAGGTACTAATTAATAGTGATTCGTAATATTTTCGTAGTTTAAATGTTAAACACGAAGAAATTCTTCTCGTAAAAGCAAAAATATAGCGGAAAAATAGAATTCTTTCGACGAGCATTATATAGAAGTTAAAAAAATACAACGAAAGTACATCGGAACAACATCACATAGTAAAAATGGCACGTTCAGTACTCAAATTGCTAAAGTATTTCGCAGCATTTATTTTCATTCTTAATTATTGTACGGCAAATGAAACGAAAGAATTTAGGATTAGTGTGTTACCAGTTTATGCAAAGCTAGCAAACGCAGATCTTCGAAATTCAACTCAATGTGGCAAGAAACTGACTAAATATCGAGAAACCATTAATCAACAATTATTCTGGAGTTTAAAAAATACGTGAAAGTTACGAAAAAATCATTTTTATTATTAGTGATTTTAAATATTATTCTGCAAAATAATAATCACTTATTTAGTTCTTATGTAACTATGAACGTATACATATAAAGGATCGTATTAGGTTGGTGCGTATGAAATGTTGGATTTTAAAGTGAATATATAAAACTTCGTATCTTTTTTCAAAATCTGTTTATTTAATCAAAATAAACTCTATTTGCTTAAATACACCTTTCCCATCGAGATTATAATACACAGATGCCTGTCTTAAAGAAATTCTGACCTTTAGAATCAATGAACTCTGATATGGACTTTTTCAGATTGTCTCCATTTTTAGACTGTTTAGCACGTAAAAACTATTGTAAATTTAAAAAAAAATTAAAGTTAGTTAACGAAAGATCCGGTTAATAGGATAAGTGCGGCAAAATTTCATATTTTAATTTATTTAAAAAAATCGGGCAAATAGTGATGAAAATACTTTTAATTGATAAAGCTTATTTTGTTTGGTTAATTAGTGTTGTATCCACTTAACCATTTTTTTCATCTTGCCAATTTCAGAAAGATGTCGTAATTAAGTTGTATGGTCAATTTTTATTGTAGAAGCAAGTTCCCTTTTAGATAAAGTTGGATTCATTTCCACCAATGTTTTCAGAGTATCATTTTTTACAGACACCTTGAGTCTTCTTTTAAAGGGAAAATTCAGGAGACCAAAGTTTTTTAAACTAACGATGCACTTTTCGATCGTTAACAGTATTCTCCCCAAACGCCTGGTTTATATTACGTGCAAATGTTGTAGCATTATTACAAAATTTATACTCATCTATAAAAATTACACGAATATCGGTTGAATTCATATCCTCACAAAATTAAAAAAAAATTAAAAAGTTGAACACTTTTGAGAAAATTTGCTTTATTGAAATGTGACTCTGGCAATGGACATTACGACTATAAACAAAATTATACCAGAAACGAAAAAATAACGAAAACAGGGGAAAAACGTTCACATGCAAAGAAAATCCGACATTTTATATGCACCAACCTAATATTTACGAGCAATCCATATACGTGGGTCACTGATATTTTTATTATTATTTATATTATCACAAACTTATTTTTATTATTCTTTGATTTGAAAAATTTATGCATAAATTAATTCAATTATATTACATATATGACATTTGAAAAAAATGGTCTTACCTAATAAATCTTGTCAAGAGTACGAGAAAATATATTTTGATTACATTGAAATAATTAAATGGTTCACGTATGTTCTTGCTCATATCTTTTTTTAAATACAAGTAAGCGACAAAAAAATAACCAAAACCGAAAAAGTTATCAACTGCCATAATCTCATTGTACAATACATTATTTCTTACAGCTCTTGTTTTTATGTTTTTAGTATATCAGAACATCGTAGGCTGTTTCTATTATCATTAATAGGAATGTGAGTACGACTATTAGCTTAAAAAGATACAACAAGAAAAAATTTTTATTTTGATATTTATTGAAGGACTATCATAAATTATAAAAGAATTGTTGGTTTACGTCATTGTAATGAATGTTCCACTTAATAACCATCGATGGTCATCTATTAGATCTCTTACTTCACCCAACGTAAAATCAGCTGAATATAATTCGCCTTTAAAAAGAGTTCTTTTTCTCAAAACGTTTTCTAGAAGAATAGAAAGTTGATCCTTCGAACAAGATGCTGGTAAACACATACCGAGTATTATGAAATCCTACGCAAACAAAAATCAAAATTTTGAATAAAATTGTTAAAATCACTATTTTGAAATTCAACTTATTTGCGACCACCGAAATGATTTTTTCTTCCTGTGTCGTACATAAAAATTATTTTCGATCGACAAAAAAAAGAAATTTGTATTTTATTTCTTTTATCAAGTAGTCGATGCAAGCGGCGAGCCAAAGACAGGATTTATTTATGGAAATAATTATTGGTTGGGTAGTAGAAGCCAATGCGAAGACGCAAAAAACAGAGATCTTCTCATATTATCGGAAAAGTTATTACGGAACAATTCCAGATTTCGTCCTTTCGAGGAAGGATTTCCACCTTTTGAAGTGAAATTCTTTGTTGCTAATTTTCGACATAATAGTTCTTTGCAATACAACCTTTTAATACCCGAAGAAGTAAGTTTTTATTAAAAATTAAATTAGTGATTCAAATAAGTTAATCAAATCTTTATATTTTTTTCTTTGCAGGATTTGATAATACTCGGTATGTGCTTACCAGCATCCTGTTCGAAGAAACAACTTTCTATTCTTCTAAAAAACGTGTTGAGGAAAAGAATTCTTTTGAAAGGCAAACTGTACTAAGCCGATTTTACGTTGGTTGAAGTAAGAGATCTAATAGATGACCATCGATGGTTATTAAGTGGAACATTCATTATAATGACGTAAACCAACAATTTTTTTTATAATCTACGATAGTTCTTCGTTCAATATACAATATTATTATATTTTCTTGTTGTTGTCTGCTGTTAGGGTAATAGTTTTACTCACATTCCTATTAATGATAATAGGAACGGCCTACGATGTCCTGATATACCAAAAACGATTGCAGACAACTGACAATTTTCTTCAAGACCGTAAAAATGTTAATTCTCTAGCGATAGGTAAGTTTATTTAATAATTTACAATCCTTTTGTGTGTTACAACATACTTTTGCGCTAATATCATTTCATACAAAATTCTTTGTACGTATCCTATCGTAGTATGAGGTAATACTTTTATATGTTCTACTAATTTTTACGAGAACTTTGCATGAGTCAATTACGTATTTGGTTGACTGATAACAAAAGGATTATTATAGTTACTATCTATGGGTAAACAAATTATTATTTATTATCGTAACGTTTATTTTTATAGGTTAACTTCAAACGGTAAACGATAATAATAAGGATCAACTGGAAAAATTAGAACACCACAGTTATTTTTATAAAATACTCATAGCTTTTTCCGCATATTCGAACACGAAAATAATATTTAGTATTATATCTGAAGATGCTGGTATTCCGGTTATACACGGATTAAGATTTCTTTCGATGATATGGATTTTTAAGCTGCATACAGTTTACTTTTCAATGGATTTTTTTGGTAAAGAATAGATAATTCAGATTTAATTTAATTTATTCTCTAATAAGATATTTTTTTGTTAATGTTATTTATGTTTGTTTATTCATTGTTTTTTCGTTTTTCTATATTTAATTGAAGACAATAAGCCATTGGTTATAAGAAAATTGGACGGTTTTATTTTTCACGTAATATACAATGGGACTCTGGCAGTAGATACATTCTTTTGTTTTGGTGGTTTTCTTGTCTCCTACTTGTATTTAAAAAAAGTTATGGGCAATAATATACGGGAACCGCATAACTATTTATATGTAATAAAATTATATTTTTTCGCACTCCTAAAAAGGTTTATTAGGTAAAACCATTTTTTAAATGTCATTAATTAATAATAAATATAATATAACTTGTTGATACCGATCTTTGCAGTGTATGAGTTTGAGTTGATATTTGGCGAACGATATGCAATACTTTGTCATAGTAAATTTGCTGTTATTTTTATCTTCTAGGTAAGGCAACTAACATTTTAATAAACATCTTTTTGTATAAAAAGTTCTTTTTGAGCGAAAATAATTTCAATTAAACAAACATAATTGTATTTTAGATACTTCAAAGTAGCAGCTAGTTTGTTGGGTTTATTGTTTACCTCATCGATAATTCTTTCTGGCTATATATCATAAATTTATGTGTATATTGTACAACACTTACTAAGATATTATTATTAATTGACGTAGATTATATAGTTAAAGTTTTCAGGAAAATAAAAATATGTATACAATAGTTGTTAATTAAAAATATATTAATAAATGAGATTTTTATATAATATTTACGAAGATTATTACTGTTGCGTTTCCTACGCAACGAGTGAGTAGGGCGAAACGCCGGGGCGTGTACGGCCTTGCCAAGGCGTGAGACACGCGGGACAAAGCAGTATCTTTGTTTTTGGTGGTAACCACGGGAGCGCCAAGATCGTTGTAAGGACTCCTTCTTTCTTCTAGCTTGCGCTCTCCCACCACAGTTATTACGCCAATCATATGTATCGGCGGTCGCATTAGCATCGGGCTTTTCGGTGATTGGTCCAGCATTGCATCGCTATTTTGTATAAAGCCCAGCGCGTTCTCACGCCTTGGGCACTCTTCTTTGGGCACTCGGCATTCGGCATGCAGCATTCATCATTCATCATTCATCTATCGTCACTCGTGATTGCTGAAACTTGCGAGAACCACTTTGGGGAGAATTATTGTATTACGCAATACTACATCATTTA